GGTGGTATAAATTCACCAGCTGCTCCTTGAAAACCCTATACAGGGTCGCTATGAGTCAGAACAGACTCAAAGGCACTTCACAACAACAAATGAAGCAAAGTATATGATTTATTCTATATAAAACTGATCATCTTAATTCACTTAATTCATAATAAAAAGTTGTGGGGGGAAGTGCTTTTAAAAATGAACTCATTTAATGAGTATTAACTCAGTTATTCTTTGACGTCTTCCTGACCTTCCTTAAAACCGTTTTATGTGGGGCAGCATTCCCTTAAACTTACTGCAAAGCTTCGATGATTTGGGTAGATGTACACTTGAGTTTTGTTACAAATTTGGCATTAGACTTGACCTCAAAATTGTTTTGTGTTTTATTTTCACGGCACTAAAAGCATCCTTTAAAAAAAAGGTGTATCTTTGGAAGTTTTGTAACAAAAATGGGGGAGTAGTTAATCTTACAGCACAGAAACAGAGAACCCTAGAACCATCAAGCGAGAAGAACACAAGCAGAGTGCGGGACCCTATCCAGAGAAGTAGTAACACCAGAGATGAGGACACGGAGAGAGGAAGCAGCTGAAGACTAGACTCATGGAAAGAAAGGGACTGGGTGCTAGCAGCCAGGAGGCAGGCTTCCAGAATGTGCCCTTTGGTGGTTTAAAGTATTATATATTCTTGAGTGTTTGTGTACACCCCCCCAACCCCTCAAAAAAAGTATACCTTCAATTTTATGAATTTGACCTATATTTATGGGTGTAGTAGCTTAAAATACCAACCAAGAGGGAAGGAATCTTCACAGCAAGGATCATTCTTATTTCCTTTGTATACAGGATTAATAAGGATGAGCAACTTAGACATTGGCTACCTAAAATTGGCGGGTAGGGGGAACTATAAAGGCACAAAGTGACTGGCTTACAAGTTTTCAAGAGATAGTTAGTTTCAGAGTATGCAGGGGAAGGTAGAATCCCCACTGAATAGTTTTCATCTTGTCTAGAAAGGTCATGTGAAAGGA